TTATATATATATATATATATATATATATATATAAAATTATTTTATTAAAAATCAAAATCTCATATCTATCATATCATATAAATAACATATAGATAATAAATACTTCCATCTTTATAAAAAAAGTTTAAACTCTCTCGGAAATAATAAGCAATTTATTATTACACATACAATAATATATAGTTTATTTTAATTCATAATTTTTCACTTTTATTATCGTCCATTATATGTTTGTTGAACAGTTTCATGCTGATGGTGAGAAACCTTTTTTTTTATCTTTATATTTTCAAAAAAATATCACTAATATCTTAGTCATTTATTTAACATATATGTAATAGAATACGTTATTACTCCATGCAATATTTGAACGCAGTGAGCCTTTGAATATGTCTTTTTAATTCAAAGTTTTATTCAAAGTTTAATTCAAAGTTTTTTTCAAAAGTATATTGAATTTGCTTTACTTTTTTATCTATGTACACTATTATCTATCTTGACAAATACATTCCTACAGCAATTTTATATTTCATGATATTCTTTTACACATGATAACCTTTGACACTTATATTTTGAAATTTTTTTCAGTCTTTACAAATGTCTTATGAGTAATTAATGATATTAAACGTATTAATATAATTTATTATTATTTATAATATTGCTACTACTTTTGCATATCTAATTCTTATATCTATATTATTATTTAATGCACATAGTAAACAGAACATTGTGCACATTTTTAACAAAATATATTATGTTGTACTGTCATTTCTTTTTACAAACTCAAAGGAACTATCGTCAGTCGCATCGATAAAATATGCTTGCGGCGTCATTATTGTCTTCTTGCCAATACGAGATGGAGTAAAATCTATATCTTTGAACTTTTTTTTATCTATTCCCATTTGTAACGGGTGAATATAGATTTCAGGATCCTCACGAAGAGGAACTGATTCCACATATTTATCATCGTCCATTACATGCTTGTTGGATGCAGTTTCATGCTGACGTAAGGAGAAATTTTTTTTTATTTTTAAACGATTGTCTCTGAATATATTATATATATAAACACATATTAGGTACATATACACAATATAATACAATATAATATATATTATTTATACCAAGACTTCCAGTTTTTCTTTCTCTGATGAATTTTCATTGTTTGAACCAATTAAATCCTGTAATGAAATCTTATTGATTTTCACCAGACCCATAATTGCGGCATTTCTAAACCACTTATCCATCTGCTTGATATATTTTTTACTTTTTTCGGCCTCAGATTGATTTGTTTTTATATTCTCATTTTCAGGAGAGTTCTGAGTTATTTTTTCCTTAGATTTAGTCATCTCATCAAGTTTTTTCTCCCAAAATTCTTCCCAATATTCATTTGAAAGATTACGACCACCATTTACCTGTGTGATATTAATTTATGTTTTACTGTTTCTTATATATGTTTAAAAATTACTTAAATACAAAATTTCTATAATTTTCTTTAATTATATATATTTTTTAATAAGAAACATTAATTTTACCTTAACCATCCTGTTGAATGCTATTACTTTTAATTGAAGCATGAAACATTTCTTTATAATGGTGTTAATTATTCTGTTTAAAAATGTTTGCTTACCTCCTTAATACCAGCTGAAATCCCAAATTTATCAAAGGAAGGTTTTACTTTATCATCTATAACATTTGTACAATCATCATCATCTATATCGGAGTCTTCT